TACTAAAGGGATAACTCCCCAGTATTTTTTTTTTTTGACGATTCAGAGTGACAGTGGTGTTTTTTTTATCTCTCAGGTAGTACAGGACGTGTCTTTTTTTTTAGACACGGAATGAAAACTTCATGCATTTTTTTTACAGCCCACCGGAAAGACTGAAAAAATTTTTTTTAACTATTTAAAGAACAACTAGGCCAGTTTTTTTTGCTTATGCCTATAATCCCAGCACTTTTTTTTTTTGAAGCAGGCAGATTATTTGAGCCCAGTTTTTTTTGACCAGCCTGGCCAACATGGCAAACCTTTTTTTTACTGAAATACAAAAAATTAGCCGGACTTTTTTTTACATGCCCTAGTCCCAGCTGCTTGGGAGGCTGAGGTACATGAATTGCTTGAACCCGGGAGTTTTTTTTTGCAGTGAGCCGCTATCGTGCCACTCTTTTTTTTCCTGGGTAACACAGTGAGACTCTGTCTTTTTTTTAAAAAAGGAACAACTGCTGCTCAAGTGTGCCAGGAAACTAATCTAACTTGGGACAAAGTATTTTTTTTTCTCCTGCTGAGGATTTGGGTCATTCTTTTTTTTAGGCTCTAGTTGAGCCCTTTAGAAATTATGTATGAGAGACCTTTCCCAGCCACCTTGGGGCTAAGATCAGGCTATAAATTCTTAGAAAGGGAAGTTTTTTTTAGATATTATTTAAAATTGCTAAATGATTTTTTTTCTTCTCTTCATGAGTTTGCTTCTTCCTTTTTTTTATGCTACTTCACCCCTTCTAGGCTACAGACCAAGTCCTACCTAAAACCTGGAGGGAGAACGGACTGGATCACCAACTGGCCCCTCAAAGGGTAAGACCCTGTGAGGTCCTTCTGACCACACATTCATCTTTTTTTTAGGAGTTAAACCGTGGGTACATTATGTTTTTTTTAAAACTGCCTCCCCCGCCAGCACGACCTACCAGGTTAATAGACCTGAATGGACATGTGAATTTTTTTTAAACCTGAAGCTGCTTTTCAACAAAATTTTTTTTGAGAAGTAAAGCCTTCTTGCTAAGCATTTTTTTTCTTTATAGCTTAACGGTGTCCGCTGATTTTTTTTTTTTCTTACAATGGGCACATGATGCATTTTTTTTACAGAAGCTCGTAGGGTTGGAGGGCTTTTTTTTTTCTCTAGCACGTTGGTATTACCTTGGTTTTTTTTGCTCTTACAAGGAAACAACTGGGTACTTTTTTTTACTTTTATGAAAAACTATTCCAAAGATTTTTTTTTCTCTGGTGTGCTAACAGGAGAAATGTTTTTTTTTGGCCTGGCATTAATATAACCCTTCATTTTTTTTGTCACAGAAAATCTTTTACTATAAGTTTTTTTTTTCAACAAACTTTTGAATACACTCCTCTTTTTTTTAAGGAATTTCCCTTGGCAGCCCCCCATTTTTTTTCTATTAACAGCCGCTATACTGAGGAAGGTTTTTTATCAAGCTTGGGATGATTATCTTTGATTTTTTTTGCTCCCTTACCCTTACCCTGCCACCGGCCACATAAATCAAATTGCCCCTTTACGGTGGGATTTTTTTTTAACCCCAGCATTCTTATGATAACTGTTTTTTTTTCACTAAGAATATGGGTTGGATGCTCTTTTTTTTAATGTGAACATACCTCAGGGCTGCAACAAACTGACTGGTTTGCTACCGACTGGACACAGATTTTTTTTTCAAACAGCTAGCTTCATACGGAATGTTTTTTTTATGTGGGACTAATCTTTGGCCTTGATTTTTTTTTGGCTGGATAGGACAATACGCTCTGGGATTCCCACAGGTCCAGGGTCATTTGGCAAAAACCTTTTTTTTACCTGGAAATTTCCCAAATGTGTTGCACCAATGGACCAAGTCGGTTTTCCACTGGTATGACCATCTCCTCTCCATTTCTGTTTCCCAAGTTAGTTTTTTTTTTGTTATCTGACATGTTGAGATCCTAATTTTTTTTACCCAGCATGTGCTGAAGGATGCATTCAAAGGCATCTCTTTAGTCACCTCTCAGATGACTTTTTTTTTAAAAGCAGTTTTGTAGAACCACATGGCCCTCGATGTCTTCACGGCTGCACAAGGAGAACTTGTGCCATAATGAAAACTGAATGCTATGCGTACATTTTTTTTAGTTCAGGAAACATCACCATGGCCCTTCAAGATATGTACAAACTAATGCTATGTCCAACCTTTTTTTTTCACTAAACCAATGATTATCTTCATATTTTTTTTCAGTACCTTCTTGGTGGAAAAAATCATTTTTTTTTCTGGCTATGACTATAGGAACAGGAATTTTTTTTGGTTGTGGATTATATTGCTGCTGCACTTTTTTTTTGGGATTGCAAGATCGCCCTTCTCAAGCTCCTGACACTCTGTTCAACAATGTTACAACAATTTTTTTTAAGTCCCAGGACATGTGAATATTTTTTTTTTTTTGGTAAATAAGTTCCATTCCTCAGCCCTTTTTTTTTGCCCCTTGTCAGCGGGAAGTAATTAGACTGAGTCAACACCCCAACTCAAGATTGAGGAATGGAACAGTGTCAGTGGGGCTACTGTAACCCAGATTTTTTTTTAAAAATCATCAGATGTTTATTTTACTTTTTTTTCTTTCTCTGTCCTTAACTTCCTGCAGGCAGGATTGCTTGCACGTAGTCATTTTGGTAGAGTTTTTTTTCTAACAAGTGATTAACTCCGTATCCTTTTTTTTTGGTGCTGCTTGCAAGATTAATATACTTTTTTTTTTTTTAAAGAACAATGATCCTTAGGTCTTTTTTTTCTTCTTGATGGCATCCAGAAGTTTGACTGGCCGAGGGACACGAGCAGCTTTGATCATCAATTTTTTTTCCCAATTACGTGCAAAGGAAGGTCATATTTGAGAATCTGCTTCTCCCGCCCTCATACTTTTTTTTTTTTGAATAAACCTTTCTAAGCATTAATATTTTTTTTTTTGGCTTACTGTGCGTCGGGTACATTTTTTTTTCTTTTAGTGTTCTACAACAGCAACCTTTTTTTTTGTACCTGAGCTAATCAGGTAAAGCCAAGAACAGCTGAGCTACAGTATCTCCTTAAGATCATTTTTTTTATGTTGTTAATAGATAAGAGAAGAGAAAATAACTGTCATGTGCAACATCAGACATTCAGTTTTTTTTTTCCTCAACATCAAATGCTTTAAAATATGAAGCCAATGGCTGGGCATGGTGGCTCATGCCTGTAATCCCAGCACTTTAGGAGGCCAAGGCAGGAGTTTTTTTTGAGCTCAGGAGTTCAAGACCAGCCTGTTTTTTTTAGTGAGACCTTATCTCTACCAAAAATTTTTTTTTAAATAAACAAATAAAAATAATTAAAATTTTTTTTCAGGTTGCTCAAGTATTCATCAAGTATTTTTTTTGGCTTACTATGTGTTATGATGATGAGTTTTTTTTTTGAGCCATCAAAGAGAAGTTTCTGGTTTTTTTTGCAACTAAAAACAATTACCCTCCCCAACGATCGGTCTGTGTGTTCCATAGGTATAGAAGCTTTTTTTTCAACTAGGAAAAAGTGAAGGTAGGCCTTTTTTTTTGGCTCATGGCTGTAATCCCAACACTTTTTTTTTCTGATGTGAGTGGATTCGCTTGAGCTAAGGAGTTTGAGACCAGCTTGGGCAACATGGCAATTTTTTTTCTCTACTAAAAAAAAAAAATACGGCCTTTTTTTTTGGCTCAAGCCTGTAATCCCAGCACTTTTTTTTTCCGAGACGGG